GATGCCATCCCTACTAGCTTTCTGACCCTGTGTAGTTAGGATGCTATAGCAATACGGAAGCATGCAGGTTTATATCTTATTCATTCTCATTTCCATCATGATGGAAGATGGAATTTTATTTCACATAGTTATTCGGGAATCCAAGGTGAGAGAGACTCTAGTATGTGGTGGCCATAGATACACTTCTTCTGTTTTAAGCATCAGAGAAGCTCATAGCAGCAATTAAATACTCCAGCAGAGAAGTGGCTGACCACACAGAAATGATCACATAAATCACTTCTACTCATACCTTGTTGTCCATCGCTAGTCACAAGGCCACCTCACTTAACTGTGAGAGGGTGGGAAAGTGAATCCCCCAGCATACCTATGAGGAAAAGACACAGGGAAAGATGAACAGCCTGAAGACATCTCAGAATCACTACTTCATCCTTGTAGCTCCATTTCTCTACATGTAGAATGAAGATAATCATCATGATTGTCTGAAGTACATATAAGCATAATGTTATGCACACAATATTTTGAACTGTATAAAGCAGTGGGCACAAACAGGAGATGGCTCTCTCCACCCTAGAAGTCCACATATTAGTATATAACATGATTATGTATGTGATAATTTGTCTGGAATATGATTAATTTAACTTTGGGAAATAGTGTAATTCTGTCTACTCAGTAATTAAGAGGGGTAGCAACATGGGAGCACAAAATCAGCTACAGGGGTGGCAGTTACTGGTTTGGCTCTTGGCTCTACCACTTATTTGTTATTACTTAGTGACTTAAGCCCTCCTAAGCCTTAGGTTATCATTTGCTGTAAATCACAGAACTTAAAAACATCCACCTGGGATTACTTCAATGAGAAACTGCATAACATGAAATGTCCAGTTCAACCAGTAGGAGCTATTATTTTAAAATACATTCCTAAATATTCTAGACAGAAATGTCACACAGTCAAATACGCATAGAGATCCTGTCAGTCTCACCATGATTAATAAGAAATAGAATTTCTTATTAATCTCTATGGGGTTATTTCAGCTTAAAGTGGACAATAAAGAATAAAAACATGGCTTAAGAGAGTTCAGTGTTTAAGAGCAATGTCTGCCCTTCCAGAGGACTTGTGTGTTGATTTCAGCACCCATGTTGGTTGGCTCACAACTGCCTGTAACTCCACCTACAAGGGACTCAACAATTCTATACTAAAAAAGACATACATACATGCAAACAAATAAAAAATAAGTTATGCAATAGAAAAAAGAAAATAAAACTTACATATCCCAGAAGGATATACTTCTTGATCTAATCTTCTCCTTTTTTCGGTACTAGCTGTCTCACTAAAATCTTTACAATTTGCAACACCCCAAAGGACATCTCCTTACTCTGGTCCACTTTCATCTTCTTCCACCTTCCTTTACTGAGCCCTTAGAGAGGGCTTATATGTCTGCCCCTAGCAGCTCCACACCTTGTTGTCTCCATACACGGAATATGTAAAATGATCAAGAGAGGAGAATAAAAGATGTTCAGGGTAAATCAATTGCATGGTCTTTTAATTCACACAAGGTGAGTTTTCAAGCCACCTATCCCAATCCTTTGAATATTTGTCTTTGGTCAAGAATCTTTTGTGTCACCCATCTTTTCTTGTATGTGATTATTCAGATAGTGCAGTAGCATCAGGTTGTCGACTGGTTACCTTCTTAATTAGACCATCATATGTCTCTGACTTCTGCTGCAGGTTTGAGAGAAATGACTTTAAGGCCACAATATAATAGATAGTTGGTATTTTCTTTTTTTTTTTTTGTTTTTTGTTTTTTGTTTTTCGAGACAGGGTTTCTCTGTGATTTTGGAGGCTGTCCTGGAATTCACTTTGTAGACCAGGCTGGCCTCGAACTCACAGAGATCCGCCTGCCTCTGCCTCCCGAGTGCTGGGATTAAAGGCGTGCGCCACCAACGCCCGGCCTAGTTGGTATTTTCTTAAATGTGGATTTGTAATAGTCGTCCATATGCTTTTGTACTGTGTAATCTCTAATATCCTCTAGGCAATAAATTTCCATATATAATGAAAGGTTACAACATAGAAATAAGTTAACAGATTAACCTTTCAATTGTACTTACCAAGCCACCACCCTGTGTGTGGTACTGTAAACACCAGGAACCTAAGAGTATGAGAAGAGTTTGATCCTAGGCATTTTCCACCCAGCCAGCTACTTGGTGAACTACACAGAACTCAAGAAGCAAGACTCATTCCCTCCCTTGCTCTATCCCCAGCTGCCAAACACCACAGCATCCTATGTGTTGTTCTCATTGCAGTCCATGGACCCTGTCCTCCATAGCACAGTGCTGCCAACCCTGCCTCCAGAAGCTCATCTTTCCTTTTTCTATCCCTGTCCCATGCATGCCACAGTCTCTCTTACTCCTCTCTCCCTGACAGGCAATGTAGAGGAAACTATAAGCAAGCCAATATTTCTGGCTGGGATGAGGCTGTGTCTTCTTTAGTTAATAGGTAGGTGCTTCAAGTGCCCCAATTATCTTTTCTAAAGTATCTCTGTTTCATTTCCTTCTACTATTGCAGCTGCACATTTTTTCTCTCTTTTTGTGAGAAGTCCAAACTAAAGGGTGTGTGTGTGTTCGTGTGTGTGTTTTATTTGGGAGCAATATCTAGTCCTGTACCATAGTATATATTATGTTCCTTTGTATGTTCAATTATTCCTTTTCTTTGTGTAATGTAATTTTTATTTTAAATGTATCCTTTTTATTAATTTTACTTAAAAATCAATGTATGTTTGTATCTACCTCTATGTGGTTATGTAGATGTGAGTGCAGTGCTCTTGGAAGCAAATAGAAAGTATGAGATCCCTTGGAATTACAGATTGTTGTAAAACACCCAAAATGGATGCTAGGATGTGAACCATGAGGCCATTGCTTTGACCCCTAAAAAATTATTCTTTGGATCCAGTGAAATTGCTCAGTGGGTAAGGGAGCTTGGTGCAAGCCAGATGACCTAAGGTAGATTTCCTTGTGCCCATATGGTAGAGGCAGAAAACCAACTTTCACAAACAGTCCCAGTCTGACCACCACATGTGCACTACAGCACACATGAATGCACACACGAGTGCAGAAACACACACACACACACATACACACACACACACACACAGAAGGAAGGTTCATTTTATTTATTTATATTTTTATTTAAAGTAGAAACAAGCTTACTTCACATGTCAATCTCAATTCCCTCTCCCTCTCCTCCCCCTCTCCCCTAACCCCCCCAGCTCCTCACTCCATCTCTCCTCCACTCTCCAGAGAGGGTGAGGCCCTTCATGGGGAATCTCCAAAGTCTGTCATATCGTCCAGTGCAGGGCCTAGGCCCTCTCCCATGTGTCCAGGCTGAGAGAGCATCCCTTTGGGTGGAATGGGCTTCTGAATTCCATTCATATGCCAAGGGTAAATACTGACTTATTACCCAAGGCCCCATAGATTGCTGAGGTTTCCTCACTGATACCCACGTTCAGGAGGTCTGGATCAGTCCTATGCTGGCTTCTCAGCCATCAGTCTGGGGTCCATGAACTCCCCCTTGTTCAGGTCAGCTATCTCTGTGGGTTTCGCCAGCCCAGTCTTGACCCCTTTGCCCATTACTCCTCCCTCTCTGTAACTGGGTTCCAGGAGTTCAGTTAGTGTTTAGCTGTGGGTGTCTGCCACTGCTTCCATCAGCCACTGGATGAAGGCTCTAGGATGGCATATAAGGTAATCATCAATCTCATTATCCAGGGAGGGCATTTAAGGTAGCCTCTCCACTATTGCTTAGATTGCCAGTTGGTGTCATCCTTGTAGATCTCTGGAAATCTCATTAGTGACAGATCTCTCCTCAAACCTATAAGGGCTCCCTCTATTATGGTATCTCTCATCCTGCTCTCTTCTATTCTTCCCCCAACTCAACCTTCCTGCTCCTCCATGTCCTTATCTCCCCTCTTCTTCTCCCTCTCTTTCTCTCAGCTCCCTTTCCCCTCCCACCATGCTCCCAAATAGCTCAGGAGATCCTGTCCCATTCACTTTCTCCAGTGTACCATGCATATCTCTCTTAGAATCCTCTGGGTTTCCCAGACTCTCTGGCACTGGGATTGTAGGCTGGCACTCCCGTGTCAAGTCTAAAATCAATATATGAGTGAGTACATACCATGATTGTCTTTTTGTGACTGGGTTACGTCACTCAGGATGTTTTCTTCTTGTTCCATCCATTTATTTCCCTGTGAATTTCAAGATTCCATTGTGTTTTTTTTTCTGCTGAGTAGTACTCCATTGTGTAAATGTACCACATTTTCTCTATCCACTCTTCAGTTGAGTGGAATCTAGGTTGCTTCCAGGTTCTGGCTATTACAAATAATGCTGCTATGAACATAGTTGAACAGATGTCCTTATTGTATGAATGTGCATATTTTTGGTATATGCCTAATAGTGGAATTGCTGGATCTTGTGGTAGACAGATTGCCATTTTCCTGAGGAATCTCCATACTGATTTCCAAAGTGGCTGTACAAGTTGGCACTCCCACCAGCAGTGGAGGAGTGTCTGCCTTTCTCCACATCCTCTCTGGCATAAACTGTCATTGGTGTTTTTGGTTTTAGCCATTGTGATGGGAGTAAAATGGTATCTCAAAGTTATTTTGATTGCATTTTCCTAATGGTTAAGGATGTTGAGTACTTTCTTAAGTGTCTATTAGCCATTTCAGACTCCTCTATTGAGAATTTTCTATTTAGTTCTGTACCCCATTTTTGATTGGATTATTTGGTGTTTTGGAGACCAGCTTCTTGAGTTCTTTGTAAGTTTTGGAGATCAGCCATCTGTAAGATGTGGGGTTGATGAATATCTTTTCCCATTCTGTGGGCTACCATTTTGTCTTGTTGACTGTGTCCTTTGCCTTACAGAAAGAAACTTCTCAGTTTCAGGCGGTCCTATTTATTAATTGTTGATCTCAGTGTCTGTGCCACTGGTGTTATATTCAGGAAGCAGTCTCCCGTACCAATTTGTTCAAAGATACCTTCCACTTTTTCTTCTAAGAGGTTCAGTGTGGCTGGATTTATGTTGAGGTCTTTGATCCATTTGGACTTGAGCTTTGTACATGGAGTTACCAAGCGGTTGTGAGCCACCCAGTGTGGGTGCTGGGCTCCAAAATTCGGGATTTCTACACGAATAGCATGCATTCCTAGTGACTGAGCCATCTGTACAGTCCCAAATATTTTTCTTTAAAAATGTATTTAAACTGCTGTATGGATAGTTATTAGAAGACAGGAAACCACTTAGTCTTAATCAGAGATGATAGTAGGCTGGCCTAGTTTGTGCTGATAAAGTTGAAAAAGTGGGCTGTTCTAAGATAAGTTTAGTAGGTCAGATTGCCAAACTAAGGCTGGAAAAGAAAGTGTTAAATATGAATTTAAGACTAAAAGGTGGAAATAACTGGATAAACTCAAGAAATTCTCTATTTTAAATAGGTGACAGTAATTTTCTTTGAGGCTATGATATTCACGCAGAGACTATATAGGATTAGGGAAAGGCCTGTTTTATGTATAGATGTAACTATAGAATTCTAAGTTCTTGGAGCCTCACTTTTTATATAAAATGCAACAATTGAGAAAATATACATTCACTTTATGTATATTTACATTGAATTTTAATTTATGTCCAACATGTATTTATTATTATTATTCAAAACATGCTCTTCAGAACTATGACATTTGAGAGTAGTAGCAGAGGGTTCTAATTGCAGCTACTTATGAGGCTGAGGCAAGAGTAGGAGGCTCACATGGGTTACAGAGCAGTTGGACTGAAAAATCCCTAGCTGTCATCATTTCCTGCAGCCTTCTGGAGTCAGATTCGTTTCTGGCTCAAGAGAAGGTCTGAATATCGAGGATGGACTGTAGCCATCTGGTATTTTTGAGGAGGTGCCACTGAATCATGACGACAGCACTGGGCTAAGAATCAGGAAACAGGAGTCCCACTGCAGTTCTAGCCTGGATTCCTGGCTGCCTCCAGTTGGTTACTTGGTCTCTCTGGAATTGGCACTAGATTAAGCTCAATGTCACCATAATGTTAACTCTGATTCAAAAGTAAAATATAGACTCCCACCTAACATTACACATTCAGTCTCTTTAATCACTATGTATTAAGAAATGAGAACTCACTATGTATCAATTATTATTGTAGGTATTAGGTACATGGCAGTAAACAAGAACCTACAAAAACCCTCACGGAACTTACATACTCATGTCTGCAGTGTCTCCATTTATATTCATAACATCTTAACAAGCATTTCAAGAAAGACTTTTGTTTATTTACCATTCAACTAAGTAAACAATTTTTCTTTTCAATACTTCTCTCAAGTACTACCTTCTTTGACCAGTAAGCCTTTCCACTGAAGACTTCTGTATTTGGAGTAATAATACTTACGTGTTAATTGTATGTATATTTATATTTTTACACATGTAAAATAATTCTTATTGAGAGAATTTGTTGGTGTTAGTCATTTCTATCAGAACATTAACTCCTTGAACAAATGACCATTTAGTGCCAGCATCCTTAGCATAGCACTGGGAAGAGTAGTGGCCAATAAATACAACCTTGCCAAGTGGATCTGTACTTCTGGAACTGTATCTGAAACTCAGGGCCTCACTGACTTGTGTAGGAAAAGCCCTCACAACAAGATTCTGCCTACAGCTATCTAGCTCTTGGGCCTTGGCCAGGTTCCCTTTGCTCTGCCTGCCCTTTCCTATCTCTATGTTTCTCTCTTACCCAAGGCTCAGGCAGATTTCACCAGTAGATTTCTGAGCACAGGGGCCTCCAAAGTGATCAAGTACATCAGCCAGGTGCTCTGGCACACACCTTTAATTCCAGCACTTGAAGTCAGAAACAGGTGCATCTCTGCAGCAGGCCAGACAAGACTACATGGTGAAACTGTGTCATAAAACAAGTGACTGAGCATATCACAAGAAACATAGAAAATCCAATAAGGGGTAAGAAGATTCAAATATATATATATATATATATTTATTTATAAACCTTGTGCATGTTTATGTATATACAATATATAGATATGCCTGTATATACATGTATGCAAATAAACACATATGTATCTATGCACAGATATATATTTATATATATACATCTGGATTCATTAAAATCCATGCATGCACATACACTTAGACAAATGGGCATACATGCAAAAATATATACTTGTGTGTCTATAAATGTATTGCATATTCATATGTGTATATGTACATATGTGTGCATACTTAAATGTACAAACATACATATGCTCATATACTTATGTGTATTTGAATGCATACATATGCACATATATACACACACATATATTTACTTTTTATAAAAAAGAAGAAACATTAAGAATTGCTGGCATGGATCAACATCAGAGCGCTCACTTGGCACACCTGTCTAGTGGCCTCTTGGCATGGACTGTACCCAGGTCCCTTGAGGGAAGTAGAAAATGACTCTTCTTCAGCAAAAGAGTCACTGAGAGTTCAATGAGGTAGATTTACAGATTGCATTATCTTGTTTTACCTAGCCTGCCCTCACAAATAAGAAAGCAACTTTTAAAGATTCTTACCTGGAGAACCAATTTGGGCATAATTCCACCAGTGTCAAGGACTTATGCAGTGCTCAGTGGATGCCAGGAACTAAATGCCCATTTCTCCCAGCTCACCATCATGAACACCACACTTTGATTCCCACTTAGCCTTGAGAAAAAAATGGAAAGCTATTTAAGTTAGTGGCAGTAGTGGCAGGGCAGTGGCTGCACTGGGATTGTCTGTCATCACGCGGTGCCACAACACTCTGCTACCTGTGAACAAGGAAATCAAAAAATGGTAAGTAAATATTTCTCTTTCAGTTTACTGTTTCGCTCAGACATCTTAGGAAGCTAGGAAGTCAAAACTTGGGACATGTACTGAGTTAACAAACAAACCAATGTGTATTGACACTTTCCCCAAATACTCAACAGGTCAAATAAATTTGGAAAGTGCTTCCCAAGACATGAACAGATAGTCAACTTTCTGTGAGGGCTCAGCAATCTTATGCTCCAAAATTTTGGTTGTCATTTCTTCCTGGGAAATAAGAGTTGGTGTGGTTAACAGCTTTATGATAAAATTGCCACTTTCCACTTGCAAACAATGTTAAGAATTTCCTAAAATACTATGAAACATTTTTAAAAACTACTCAAATAACCTATTCTTATGACCAAAAAGTGCCTAAGACCTCAGCATGGCAGTGAAGACTTCGGATAATGTTTATGATCTTCTTAGGCTCTTCTAAGCAGTTCCCACCTCCAGGAATGCCTCCTCATTCATTTTACTCTTGGTCATTGCATCACACATGTGACCCAGACTGAGTCAATCACAGGTAAAAAAGCACCATTTTCTCACTAAAAAGTTCTATCGATCATTTGGGCCATGATCTGACAGATCTGTTTCCCTATTCTCAGGATTCCATGTTCACATCCACAACTATACCTTTTCATCATGGTGATCTGTTTTAGTTACAGGTAGGACTATTGTTATGTGGCCATATTAGTTATGCTATGTATGTGAAGGTTTGGCTATGAACAAGTGGAAGCCCATAGACCAGGCTCTGCTCACCAAGCTGTGAGCCCTGATACAGTCTTCCAGATTTACACATTGTCTAGTACTAAGCTAGTATGAGCTGCCTGAGAGTAGAGAACATTTTTAGTCATTAATCCCCACAGACCTTGGTGGCAGGCCTCATCAGAAAACTCTCAACAAGCTAGGCGGTGCTGGCACACATCTTAATCCCAGCACTCAGGAGCAGAGGCAGGTGGATCTCTGTGAATTCATGGCCAGCCTGATCTACAAAGCTACACAGAGAAACCTTGTCTCCAAAAATAAAAAATAAAAGAAACAAAAGAAAATCCTCAACAAATATCTGTTGAATTGAATTTTAGACACACAATTCTGACGTCATTATTTTTCATCTTCTTTATTCAATGATGCAGAAAATACCTTTACACTTAAGCCTATATCAGAATGGCCAATGCCTTAATGCCTTAGAGATACTTAGTAGGAACTGACCATAATAAATTAACTGTCTGTCTGTCTCTCTCTGTGTGTGTCTATCTCTCCCCTCCCTCCCTCTCTCCCTCCCTCCCCCCTCTCTCTAATAGTGTCTCCTGTAAGCCACACTGGCCTCAAACTCACCACATACCTGTGGATGACCTTGAACTTTTGATTCTCTTATACCTCCTAAATGGTGAGATTACAGGTGTGTGCTGCAGTGCTGGGATTCATGCATGCTTGGTAGGCACTCTGCTTAGTGAGCTCTTAAGACACTCCATATTGTCTAAGCTACTTTAAGATTAACTTTCTTTCAGAGACTGCAGAAGCCTCAGCCCTAAATAGGACATTGACATCTCACCTGCTCCCAAGGCTCAGGGTTCATCTCAGAGTAGAGCGTGCAAGAGTGCAAGAGTCAGAGGCAGTGGATAGCTATAAGGAAACACTGTGGACACAGCACACACAGCAGCTGCACGTAACAAATCAGAGCACTTGAGACAGCATGCACAACATCTGCCTTTTGACTTTACAGTGGGTTACAGTTAAAGAGATTGCCTTGAATCTCAGAAGACTGTGGACTTTTAAATTGTGTTCATACTGTGAAAGACTATGGGGACTTTTGAAGTTGAACTGAGTCCATTTTGCATTATGATATAGTCAACAGCCTATGGGGCTAGGGAGTGGAAGGTGATCAGTTTGAATGAGAATGGCTCCACAGGCTCATGTATATGAATACTTGACTTCCAATTGATGGAAATGTTTGGGAAGAATTAGGAGGTGTTAGATGATGTACGTCACTGGGATTAAGCTTTGAAGTTTCAAAAGGCTCACATGATTCCCAGTGATCGCCGTCTGCCTCATGGTTGTGGATCAGGATCTCAGCTGCATTCTCTCTCTCTCTCTCTCTCTCTCTCTCTCTCTCTCTCTCTCTCTCTCTCTCTCTCTGCCATCATAGACTCTAACCATCTGCCACATTAAACTCTTTCTTTTAAAAGCTGACTTGGTGATGTTGTTCTATCACAGCAACAGAAAAGTAACTAAGAAAGCTACCATAGAGATATTTATACTCTATGTTTATTATTGCTTTGTTCACTACAGTAAGGAAATGGAACCAATCTGGCTGTCCATCAACAGATGACTGTTGATAATAAAATTCTGGTACACAGATAAAATAGAATACTATTCAGCTCTAAATAAAAATAAAGTCACATAGCTTTCAGGAAAATGGTTAGACTTAGAATGTAAGTGAGGTCACACGATCTCAGAAAAAAAGATACCAATGTCCTTCCTCACAGGATGTTCCTAATCTATTGTATATAATATATACACAAATATACATGTGAATGTAGTATAACATGTAGAGAGGATAACAAGAAAAGGTAAATACTAGGTGATAAGGAATGACAGAATGCAAGTAAAAGACACACAAGTCATGAGAGAAGGCATAAAGCTAGTTATTATTCTACTTTTAACTCTGTTGTGGACTGTGTGTGTTATATAAGCACATAAAAATATAATTTAAAATGATAGTACAGAATCCACTGTGAAGTCACAGCTCCAGAATGGCTGCTCTAACTTTCCCAAAGTCCTTTGCAAAGTGGAAACTTAGGTTAATCCTGCTGTGTGATGTTTTTTATTTGTAAGTTCTTTACAATAAAGTTTAATTACGAAAAAAGTAAAGAAAAATAAAACTAGTAAAAAAAACACAGCCTAAGTTTCACTTACTGTATTTTTATCTTTGCAAGAATCCTTATGTGTGTAGTGCTAAATGCATAATAAGATTTTTTCCCCCGAGACTGGGTATCACTGTGTTACAGTCCTGGCTGTACTAGAACTCATTCTGTAGACCAGGCTGGCCTTGAATTTACTGAGATCTGCCTGCCTCTGCCTCCAAAGTGCTGGGATTAAAGGCACCACCACCACTCAGCGTATAGTCAACATTAAAGCACCTGTAATTGAATCAAATGAGACATCTTGGGATTTATAATCCTTCATAGACAACAGTGCAATAGAAACAGGAGGACCTCCACAAATGTTCACAAATGGTGGTGATGGTTGAGGTTCAGAGGCACTCTCTATCTACAGCTTAGAAACTGATATGATAAAGTTTCTGGAATGACATAATTTTCTGTGCATATATAAAATTCTATCAATGGCTAGCATCTAAACATTAATTTTAATTTTGTCATCAAGAAACTTTATATAAATTGATATTTATTTACTCACTTGTATTATTCTGTGAAATACAATGACTTGTATTGTTTTGTGAAAGACCAAAACACACATTCCATAAAGCAAAGAAAGGGGGAAAAAAGAGAGAGAGAGAATGGTAACTAACAATTGTTTTTTTTGTTTTGTTTTTGTAAGGAAAACTTTCACTTTTAAGGAAATTGATAATCTTCTAGGACGACCACAAGAATTAAGTAACTATAGTTATAAAGACTAAGGATAGCCGGGCGTTGGTGGCTCACGCCTTTAATCCCAGCACTTGGGAGGCTGAGACAGGCGGATCTCTGTGAGTTCGAGGTCAGCCTGGTCTCCTTAGTGAGTTCCAGGATAGCCTCCAAAGCCACGGGGAAACCCTGTCTTGTAAAACTAAAAACAAAACAAAACAAAACAAAACAAAAGACTAAGGATAAATGGGTCATTTTATCTGGTAAAAATCAAACATGTAAAAAACCATTTGAACTTTTAAAACATAAAGCTTCAAAGCCTATTAGCTGACATCTTCAAAAGAAGGCCCAGAGACTAACAATCACCCAGCTTGCTAAGCTGGAAATGTGACAAAGGGCAGAGTGGGGTAAGGGGTGGGAAAGAGGAAAGGAGAGAGGGAAAAAGAGAGAGAGAGAGAGATCCTGTTTTCCCACATGTGTTTTAAATCTGAAGTTAAAAGTGCTGCTTTGTTTTTATTTGCATTTCATTGAATTATAGTAAAGGGGACCATTTTTTCAGATGTTTATTGATGATTCGTAGTTAGTTCATCTTTTTTTTTAAGATTTATTTATTTATTATGTATACAGTGTTCTGCCTGCATGCCAGAAGAGGGTTCCAGACCTCATTACAGATGGTTGTGAGGCACCATGTGGTTGCTGGGAATTGAACTCAGGACCTCTGGAAGAGCAGCCAGTGCTCTTAACCTCTGAGCCATCTCTCCAGCCTTAATTAGTTCCTCTTTTTTTTTTTTTTTTTTTTTTTTTTTTTGGTTTTTCGAGACAGGGTTTCTCTGTGGCTTTGGATGCTGTCCTGGAACTCACTTTGTAGACCAGGCTGGCCTCGAACTCACAGAGATCCGCCTGCCTCTGCCTCCCAAGTGCTGGGATTAAAGGCGTGAGCCACCACCGCCCGGCAATTAGTTCATCTTTAATAAAACATTTTAAACATTTTCACTGAGCTATTCATAGTCTCCATATTAATTTATAAGAACTTTTATATAAAAAATTTACCATTTGTTATTGTTGTTACAAATTTTAAACTGGTATTTTGTTTTTTTATATTCATATCTTTCTACATGTAAGTTAAAATTTCAATTCTAATAATTTAATTTTATTATAATGAATATTAAATTAATATCATTATTAATATTATACATTATGGCATATTATATAACATATGATAAATGCTATAATAAATAATATAATTTTAATAAACCTTATTTTCTTTTTCCTTGTTTCCTTTTTTGTTCAAATATTATTATAAAATAGTCATCTTTTATGAGGATTACCTGTAATCCTCAGAATGCTACAAAGTATTATACATCCTCAAGCAATACTGAGATCTCTTCATATGCCAAACTTATAACCATTATTCTATCACTAAGATCTTACGAAATCATTTCAGAAAGATTAGCACCCTGCACTGGGCAGTGGTGATGCACGTCTTTTTAATCCTAGCACTTGGGAGGCAGAGGCAGGTGGATCTCTGTAGTTCGAGGTTAGTCTGGTCTACAAAGGGAGGTCTAAGACAACTAGGACTGTTAGACAGAGTAAACCTTGTCTCGGAAAAAAGAAAAACAAACAAACAAAAAAAGATTAGCACCATGCCACCAACTTTATTGGATGCCTCCGTATTCTTTAACCTTGAAATCCAAGTGCTGTCCCACATAGAATGCTTTAATTATTTTCATGGACAAAGCATAAGTACAAAATAGTCAACAACATGACACAAAGAAAAGTACAGCTGTTGGGTAATCAAAAATATTTTCTTTCTAGCTAAGTGACTAATCAATTAATTCAACAAGCACCTAAGTCAGTGGTTCTCAACCTGTGGTCTCAACCCCTTTGGGGTATCGTAAAATGTATATCAGATGTCCTACATATCAGACATTTACATTACAATTCATAACAGCAGCAAAACTACAATTATGAAATAGCAATTAAAAATAATTTATGGTTGCAGGTTACCACAATATGAGGAACTGTATTACAGGGTGGCAGCATTAGGAAAGTTGAGATTCACTGCTCTAAGACTAGCTACTCTACAATATTTAGTTCATAGATCAATATTAGTATTTCACTGTTTTTGAGTAAAATGTATGCACTCTGCAATGTGGATAATAATTCAGGAGGTACTTCCCTTTATTGCTTCTTGGTATATTGGAATTTATTCCAGTGTATATGAACTACTCATTGTGATGGCTAGTTTATGTCAACTTGACACAAGCTAGAGTCATCTGAAATGAGGGAACTTCATTGAGAAAATGACTCCATAACATCAGGCTGTAAGACACTTTCTTAATTAGTAATAGATGGGAGAGGACCCAGCCCATTGTGGGTTGTGCTATCCCGGGGCTGGTGGTCCTGGTTCTGTAAGAAGGCAGGTTGAGTAAGCCATGAAAGCAAGCCAGTAAGCATCACCCCTCCAGGGGCTCTGTATCAGTCCCTGCTTCAGGGTTCCTGACCGGTTTCAGCTTTTGCTCAGGCTTCCTTCAGTGAAGAACTACAATGTAGATGTGGAAGTGTAAGCCAAATTTAAAAAAAAGAAAAGAAAATCCTTTCCTCCCCAAGTTGCTTTTGGTGATGATGTTTTGTATGAGGAGTTTCTTTTCTGTTGCCAGCCCCAAATAATGACATGGAGACTTATTATTAATAATGAAATCTAGGCCTTAGCTTAGGTTTGTCCTGTTAGTTCTTACAATTTAAATTAACCCATTTATATTAATCTATGTTTTGTCTCATTTTTTTAACCTTTCCCTCACCTTGTACCTCCTATTTCCTCTTTGTCTACTGACAACTCTGTCCTTCTTCCTTGAGTTCTCTGTCCCCAGATTTCCCATCTAACCTCTTTCTAGCTATTGGCCATTCAGCTTTTTATTATACCAGCTACAGCAACACATTTTCACATAGTGTACAAATACCCCACAGCAGTGTGTCTCCAACTAAGAAACTCGTTACATTATTTTATTAAATCAACCAAGATGAAAGAATACAGAAATTATTTCAAGAAAGAGGTCATAAGTTGGTCATGTAAGCATGAATGAAATAGAGGGCTATGTAGCTGGCACCTCACTTCTAGCATGGCTTCTACAGAAGCCAGCTCAGTAAAGTAACAGGAGTGGCATGCTTGAAACAGATCTGTCATTTGGTCCCAAATGATGTATGCACTAGCCAAGGAGACTATGGGGAGACATGTTGAATTATTTGCTTTTAGAACAAATTTATAGAGGCATCAACATTTCAGTAGTCAAGAGAATGTTCTTGTTGGTTAGTAGTTTTAGTTTTTGTTTTTTGAGACCAGATTTCTCTGTGTAAGCCCAGTTGTCATGGAACTAACTCTCTCTCTCTCTCTCTCTCTCTCTCTCTCTCTCTCTCTCTCTCTCTCTCTCTCTCCCTCCCTCCCTCCCTCCCTCCCTCCCTCCCTCCCTCCCTCCCTCCCTCCCTCCCTCTCCCTCCCCCTGCAGACCAGGTTGTCAAAGAGTATCTTAATGCAGTATTTCTTTCTTTTTTTCTTTTTTTTTTCTTTTTTTTTTTTTTTGGTTTTTCGAGACAAGGTTTCTCTGTGACTTTGGAGGCTGTCCTGGAACTCACTCTGTAGACCAGGCTGGCCTCAAACTCACAGAGATCCACCTGCCTCTGCCTCCAGTGCTGGGATTAAAGGCGTGAGCCACCAACGCCCGGCTTAATGCAGTATTTCTTAAAACCCCAAGATGAATGAATGTTTCAAAAGTTTAAATTTAGGGGGTAAAGAGATGGGTCAGTGGTTAAGAGCACTCACTACTCTTGCAGAAGACCCTAGTGACTCACAAGTGTTCATAATACTAATTCCAGAGGGTCCAGTACCTCTTCCAACCTCTGCAAGCTGCACAAAGGTGGTGACCATACACTCAGAAACACATAAAATAAAACATAGTATTTAAAAAATTTTTACACACTCATCCCAAACTCATTATATGTACACTTAAACATTAAGACAGATTTTTTCCAATCTTTTAAGAAACCTGAGCAATATATTTGATATATTTTTAGCCTACCTGGATTTTTTGTTTTTAATTTTGTTGCATGTTTTGGGAGGAGGTATTTGCCTATTTTGGAAGAAGGTACTTGACAATGAATCCACAGCTCCCTGAATGCTAGGAAAGTTCTTTACCAGTGAGCTATGGCCACAGCCCAAGCCTGTTAAAACATAAAAATTCTGGTTGACATTAGGAAAGATGGGAAACTAGTAACAACTTCAACAAACCCCTTTGTATGGCTGGAGGATAGAGCAAATAAAAATGAATATTGTATTAGTAAGAGGAGTTGAAAATGTACTTCTTCCATTTACGATCAAAATCTTTGTGCAGTACCTTTTGCAGCTTGTGACAGCTATTAAAACCAACTACAGAAATAACCTGAACATCGAATCAGATATTTTAATAAGTTTATCTTAAATAATTAAAGCTTTTTTTTTTTTTTTTTTGGTTTTACAAGACAGGGTTTCTCTGTATTGTTTTGGAGGCTGTCGGACCAGCCCAGCCTTGAACTCACAGAGATCCGCTGGGATTAAAGGCGTGTGCCACCACCGCCAGGCTAGAATTAAAGCTTTTAAAACTAATGAAATCTAGTCAGTCATAGTGAGTTCACTAAGTATTTTCAGTGGAGTTAAAGGATTTTTTATACCATTTCTATTTAAAAACTCATTTATTTTAAATGTCTTTGCTATACTTTTTTACATTTTAGACATCTTACAGTGCCATAATTATCAGAATTTTAATAAAGTTTACATGATGTATGGAGAACTTTTCAGGAAGTGGGGTACAATAGAAACAAGTTTGGAGAGCCAAGAACACAGGTAAGGGAGTTGGTGCTGTGGGTGTTGGTAACATGGCAGGATGAAATTAGCCCAGCAGGCTGTAAAATCATGAGTTTGCTGGAAGTCTTCATGAAGGACGCCTCGCTGGGTTTTCATAATGGAAGGAGTGGGATTAAGGAAAATGACTAACGCGAAATTTGTTTAACACATTGGTACTTACTGTCAGAAGGCATTAAAATTCTCAAAAAAAAAGCATGTTTAAGAGAACAGCACAGGTTGAAGCCCATTTCAGCTCTGCTGTCAGACAGAGGCTCCCTCAGACCGGCCCTGTAGGATGATGACAGCAAGTTAGCCAGAAGGGTGCCGAGGGGAGCACCTCTCAGTGTGATGACTCCTCTTTAGGGGACTTCAGGGGCTACTGACAGGCGCCCTAAGGAGAGCGGGGCAGTAGGAGCTGAGTGACTGGGGGCCAAGAAAACAGTCCTGACAAGGAGGGCTGGAGCCCTGAGGGATAAGACCAGAAAGGTGACTTCTCTACGAGGCGCGTAGCCTACCAATAAGAGGTCAAAGGTACCCGACGAGGGGCTGCAGTACCCGCGTTTGGGAAGAGGAAGTGTCGGACTCTCGGGTCGGAAAGGGGACTTTGAACCGGAGCCTGTCCACGACTCTGGGGCCTGGTCCCTCCATCTGCCAACAGAGGGAGCCGGAGAATGGAAGGCCCGGACTCCGGTTATAAAAAGTGTTTGCACTGGCCCTCAACCAGCGTTGCGTACCCTAGGGCCGAGAGAGAGAGAGAGAGAGAGAGGTGAGAAGATTCCCAGCTCCCGACGGCCACCCGCGCACCTCAGGCGCCAGGCGCCCGGCTGCGCGCCCACCGCGCCGAATTCTCGCGAGAGCGGCAGCCGCCATTTTTCCATTGATTGCCGCGGGCCGGGGGAGGGGCGGCGGCGGCGGCGGCGGCGCCCTGGGTCGGTGTCTGCGCGCTGGTGTCTAAGGCCTGAGCTGAGGCCTCCGCGGTTGCCGGAGCTCAGGCGGCTGGGAGGATGACTGCCGCTGCCATTCTCTCCTGAGACACAGAGCCGCCGCCACCTCCACCCGTCCCCCGCAGGCAGGGCGGAGACGAGCGGTCGGAGTCTGAGCGATGGTGCCCGGCGAGGAGAACCAACTGGTCCCGAAGGAGGTGAGGGGCCGGCGGGCCAGTAGGCCCGAAGCCTGCGGACCTCACGGAGTCGCGCAGGCCCAGGGCGGGAGGCTGGCAGGGAAGAGCAGGCGTGCAGCCGGGTGGACGGTGGGCGCGGCGGGCAGTTGGAGACCGCGGGCTTTCCGGGCCACGTAGCTGGGGGAGACCCCAGACTGCGAGGGGCGAACGCATCCAAGACTGAACCGGAGGAGTCGAGTCCTGCTCCGGGCGGGGGTTGGGGAGAGAAAGTGGCCTTTGGGGTCTAGATTTCACAGGTCGAGCGAGCCGAGAGTTAGGGATCAATTCAAAGAAAACATTCTGGAACAGTTGCCCGTGGGCAGGACGGGGTGACCGTGCTGTTTCTGGGATTTGACAGTGTATAGCATAGCTTACAGGGCTTTTGAAATCTACACCCAAGTTGAGATCTGTGGGAAGGAAGACTTAACTGTTAAAGAGTTTTTTTTTCCAACTCCTGTTACTTCGTAGTACTATTAGCCTGCCTAAATGGGCCTACCCAGGATCGTTGAAAAAGTGTTGAAGTGAGACGTGAACGGGAAGGTAGGAGATAGCCGAGTTAATGTTACCATATGGAGAGAGAAAATGTTGTTTATTCTGAATTTTTGATCGTTTTCTGGTGTTGCCAATTTGGGTGACTTAAATTCTTAAAAGCGAGTGACTTGAGACTCCCGGACTTCTTGGCTTCCCTTGAACAGTAAGTAGTAGAAGATTAAAGGTGGAATCCTGCACTGGCCAGTGGATTTCGACATATTAATAGTCAGTTGGCTTTATAAATATCCCCAGCATTTTCAAACATGTATTTTTAACTGCTGATCGTCAGGCTTAATGCTTTGGATTTTTATGTCTCATATACCTTAAATAGATGCCAAGTGTTAAGTAGAAATTAGCAAGGTAGGCTCTTGATATTCATGCGTGATGGTTTCAGATTCCTAAATGTTTAGAGCTTTTTTGTATTGTTGCATCTCATTGCTACACAGATAAACCATGGCACAATGCAAAAGTGACTTTGTGTTTTGTACCTACCCAGTTAAATTTCCATCTTTTATCAGATGGATAATAAGTTTAGGGCTTTGTTTTGTTTTTTGAGATAGAATCTTACTATGTAACCTTGGATGGGTTGGAACTCAGCTTATATATTAGACAAGGCTGCCCTGGAACTCAGTTTCTTTTGTCTCAACCTCCCTAGTGCTAGGATTAAAAGTGTGCTACCTAGATCCATGTTTTGTTTGTTGTTGTTGTTTTGTTTTGTGTTTTTTTTTTTTTTTTTTTTTTGGTTTTATACGAGACAGGGTTTCTCTGTATTGTTTTGGAGGCTATCGGTCCAGCCCGGCCTCGAACTCACAGAGATCCGCCTGCCTCTGCCTCCCGAGTGCTGGGATTAAAGGCCTGCGCCACCACCGCCCAGCTGTTGTTGTTGTATAAGGCTGAGTTGTGTGTCAGTATTTATATATCAGGTATCACTAACTCTCTGTATTGAAAGTAAACATAAATTAGAAATCTTGCCTCTGAAACAGTTTCAACTGCTAAGGGGTGAGAGTTTGGGCAACTTGAGTCCTCGAGTTTATTCAGGGGCTTTGTACTTTGTACTAAATAACAAGGAAGGAAGTAATAGGTTTTAAGAGAAAGGTAACCTTCGTTTCATTTAGTGCTGGTTTCCATTCTAAGAGACAAAATGAATCCTTAATTTCTAATTGTTAGTAATTTGGTTTGTATAACTCTTGATAGAGGTACATGTATATCCTGCTTTGCAGAAACTTCTCTGTTGTCTTAAAAACTGATATTGCAATGCCTGTTTTACCTCTTGGAAGTTAGAAATCGCCCTTATCTGATAAACCTAACTTGTTTTCCTTCTGGATTTTATGCTTTATTTCCTGTTGGTTGGTTTTAAGTGTTTTATCCATGATTCCTGCTTCCTGGGATCATTCACACTACTGCTCTTGAGATGCAAAATTTGCTAGCTAGAGAGTGGTTTTTTTTTTTTTTTTTCAAGACAGGGTTTCTCTGTATTGTTTTGGAGGCTGTCCTGGAACTCACTCGGTAGACCAGGCTGGCCTCGAACTCACAGAGATCCACCTGCCTCTGCCTCCAGAGTGCTGGGATTAAAGGCGTGCGCCACCAACGCCTGGCCAATAGTGTTTTCTTATTTGAATGCTATAATCATTCTTCATCTGAGATGTTTCTACTTCCATATTTGCTTCTGAATTACCAGGACTGTGTTCCAAAAGGAAGCCAATGGTCTCTTAATCCAAATACATGAGCTTTCTCTTCATTGAATTTTTTGTATTATTAAATACTTTAAACAAAACAAACACCCTGTTTGCCCATTAATTTACCCAAAGCCTTGCTCCTATTCATGCTTTTAACAATCAGTTTTATTTTCTTTGGTATTCAAATAGTAGTTGAATCATACAATGCTGTAAATCAGAGAAAATCATGGTAATCAGCTAGCATTTTAACTTTGATTTCCACAGAGGTGAGAAGTACAGCTATCAGGTTGACTTATTCAAATAAGGACTAAATGGCAGGTAGAAGACTAGAGCTTGGGTCTTCTATCATTTCTTGCTTGTCCTCTTAATTTTACTCCATGCTACCTTGGGGCAATAAGAGTAGTTTATAATTTTTCGAGTGCTTGTATTTAGTAAGTGAGAAGAAATTGCAGAATTAGAAGGTTTCCTGCATCTATTCCAGTGTGCAATATTAACAATCCTACAAGAATTTGTTTTGCTTCAGAGAAGCTCTGATCCTTATGAATGTGGCTTTTGAGTCCATGTATGAATTTATACAGTAGTTAAGTGAGTTAAGATTGTTTTGGTCTCTGAAACTCTGGGACAAATGTCCCTTAGAGAACTACTAGAGACGGCATCTTAGTGTACAGAGATTGACAAACTGTATCCCCGCTCCCATCCTGTTTTTATTAGTGATTTTTAAATTGTTGAATTAAAAAATTCAAAAGAATAGTTTTCTGTGATACATGAACATGGTTGGAATGGGAATTTCATTATGAGGACACAGCTTTCAGTGGTGGCAGCAGTGTTGAGTGGCTGCTGTATATGTAGGCTGTGTGCAGCTTAATATTTCATACTCAGTACACTTGCTTCTGGCCACAACCTGTCTTTTCTGAGCTTAGCTCTCTTCCCATGGAACAAGTTTTTAATGTAGACAAACAGGTTTCTCTTCAGCTTGATTTTTACTTCTATTTGTGCTGTTCTTCTTTCCTACTGACTTCACCTATTCAAAATCTCTGTACACACTCCATAAACCTCCTTTATTCTGAAAAGTCTTGAGCATTTTAACCTTAGGAATTTCTCCTTAGTAGGCTTCTGTACATGAGTAGAGATCACTTAGCAGTTCATAAAGAGTGCTTTGGAACATGTATTATGTCCCCACATTTTATGTTCAATGGAATTCCTTGATAGCAGAGGTGGCATATTTCTCCTCTGTGTGTGTGTGTGTGTGTGTGTGTGTGTGTGTGTGTGTGTGTGTGTGTGTGTTACAAATCTAGGGGAGTGTCTTTGCTGGAGTATAGATTAGTAAATATTCATTTGTATGGTTATAAGGATGTAAGGAGGCTTCAGATTCTAACTGGCTATCCTCCACTTGGAGGTTTTCCACAGCATAATTGGCAAGCAGTTTCCACATCCATGACTTATCTCCATAACATCTTTTTCTTAAAAGAGCTCTTTTTTTTTAGTTTTTGCATTGAGAGAAATCTATATCTCTAGTGTCATCTTTTGATAGTGGCCACTGGTCAACATTTCCGTAGGAAGGTTTTTCTCATGGCTGAAATGGAGGGGACAGAAGAGCTCACCTCTTCTATCTGGAGTCTACATTGCTCAGCTCTTCCTCTGTGCCTTGCTTGTCATTTGAACATGAGCCAGCGTTTTAGTACTCCTAAGTTGTACCTCAGCGAGAGCCAAAGGAGAGGGTGGTGTTCATTGAGGAGAACTTCCCTGTTTTACTCTGCCATGTATCATTTAATTGTGAACTATTAACTTTGGTTTGAGATTGTTTGCTTTGAGTATCTCTAGTTTTAATTATTGCCCGGTGGTTGTTTCATTGTTTCCTTAAAAAGGGTTGGAACATACCATGTATGAATACTCTTGCCATATAGGAGAAAGTTAGAATAGACACCTCGAGTATCATAGAATATAAACAGTAAGGTACATATTTATTAATGTTTTGATGGATTTTGTTTTGAGACAGGGTCTCTCTATGTAGTCCTGACTAGCCTGAAGCTTACTACATAGACCAGACTGTCCTTGAACTCACAGAGCTCCTCCTGTTTCTGCCTCTGAGTGCTAGAACTAAAGGTGTGTACTGCAATAAAGTTTTAAAAATGATACTTTTAGCACATGGAACATATAAATATAGGGAAGAAGTGAAAAATTAAGAGTAAATGTAAGTTGCACGCTTCAGTGGTTTTGTTTTTTGTTGTTCTCTTCCGTGCTGTCACTACTCCTTAATTTGGAACTGGGTTTTGGCATCTAATGATAATAATAGTAATAACCAACATTTATTGAGATACCAAATACTGTCATATACTTATATTAATTCATTTAAGGGCAGCAACTTAACAACTGCATAAGAGAGATAGATCTTCAATGACTTTTTGTTTCTCTGTTGTCTTATTTCTTGAAGAATAAATCTTCATCACTTCCTATTAAGGGCCATATCAAATTATAGTCTTAATTTTATCTATCTTGCTTAAACTACTTGGAATTGTTGCAGTGC